TGCTGCAATAGTCTATGTGCCGGGGGGCTAGGGTCAGTCTGTTATATCTGGTGTAATTCTTCTGTCTTATCTAGTGTCCTGTGTGAATTTAAGTATGCTCCCTCTAATTCTCTCTCTCTCCCTCTCTCCCTCCCCTCCCGGAGGACCTGAGCCCTAGGATCATGCCTCAGGACTACCTGGCCTGATGACTCCTGGCTGTCCCCAGTCCACCTGGTCGTGCTGCTGCTCCAGTTTCAACTGTTCTGCCTGCGGCTATGGAATCCTGACCTGTTCACCGGATGTGCTACCTTGTCCCGGATCTGCTGTTTTCGACTCTCTCGCTCTACCGCACCTGTTGTCTCGACCTCTGAATGCTCAGCTATGAAAAGCTAACTGACATTTACTCCTGAAGTACTGACCTGTTGCAGCCTCTACAACAACTGTGATTATTATTTGACCCTGCTGATCATCTATGAATGTTTGAACATCTTGAAGAACAATCTGGCTTTAATGGCCATGCCATCTTATAGTATCCACCCGGCACAGCCAGAAGAGGACTGGCCACCCCTCAGAGCCTGGTTCCTCTCTAGGTTTCTTCCTAGGTTCCTGCCTTTTTAGGGAGTTTGTCCTAGCCAACGTGCTTCTACATCTGCATTGCTTGCGGTTTGGGGTTTTAGGCTGGGATTCTGTATAAGCACTTTGTGACATCTGCTGATGTAAAAAAGGGCTTTGTTGCATTTGATTGATTGAATTTGATTGATACAGTAAGATCTTCTCTAAGCATTACAGGGATATGGCTCTCTCAACACCTTCCCCATAAACATTCCTGTCTCCTCTACAGATGTTATATTCTTGTATTGCTACTGCTGTATCATCAAATGAATTATCTATGTGAGTGTCAGAAATTGCTAATATTTGAATGTTATCTGATTTTAGCAAGTTATTGATTTCATGAACCTTATTTCTAAGGCTACATATATTAATATGGGCTATTTCAGCCCTTTCCTGGGTAGTTTATCAGAGATAGACATAATATGGAAAAGAGCAAACAGAGCAAGATAAAAAATAAATATATACTGTACATTCAGCAGTCCATTAATCTGTACTCCTGAGTGGCGCAGTGGTCTAAGGCACTGCATCGCAGTGCTAACTGTGCCACTAGAGATCCTGGTTCGAATCCAGGCTCTGTCGCAGCCGGCCGCGACCGGGAGACTCATGGGCGGCGCACAATTGGCCCAGGGTAGGGGAGGGAATGGCCGGCAGGGATGTAGCTCAGTTGATAGAGCATGGTGTTTGCAACGCCAGGGTTGTGGGTTCGATTCCCACGGGGGGCCAGTATGTATTCACTAACTGTAAGTCGCTCTGGATAAGAGCATCTGCTAAATGACTAAAATGTAAATTAATCAGCTGGTGTGTGTGCTGTGGGGTTGAAGCTACAAACCCATAGGCTTGGCTCTCTCATCCATTCCAGGCTTTTGGGAGGGAGGGTGTACAAAGAGCCTGTCATAGTGGATGTAAGGAAGGTCCCCACGCGCTCTGGCAGCTTTCATGGCTGGGATAAGTTATTTCCTCTTCTGGCACACAGCTTCAGGATAGTCCTTGTGGAGGAAGGTTCAAGTTCCAGAACAGCTACCTTGTCCTTGAAACTCAGGAAAGTGACCACTATCGGCCTGGGCCGGTGGTGGGTTTTCCAGTTCTGTGGGCGAGCGCCATCTAAATATTCCTGTGGTCCATTTTAAGTTTCTCCGAGATCATTTCCCTCACTTTGTCCTCAGACTCCATCCAGGTCTCATGTGGATATTCTGCAATTACGTCCACAAACATGTTGTTCCGTCTTGATTTTCCCTCGAGATAATCTGATTTCTCTGTCATTGTTATCATGGATTTACATACAGAACTGATGTCCTCTCTCAATGTTTTACAGATTGCTGTCATCTTGCCATTCTCCTGTTTAAACTCATCGAGCTGACCCTGGGAGAACTGCAAACTGTTCTTCAGGTCCTGGACCTCTCTGGTCAGGTCGTCCATTCTTTTATTGACTCCACCAGTATTTGGACAAAATACCTGAATGTATTTTCTTATTGTTGTAACAACTGCTTTTAGAATTATTTTTGTTCGTTTAAAAGATAATTAACCTGTGATAGAGAGACTCTACTGTCCTCAACGGTACGTAACATAGGTTACGCTGTTACTCCTCACAGTTCCAGAAAGGGCAGGTCAAAGGGCAGGTCAAAGGGCAGGTCGCAGCAGGGATCTAGACAGCCACAAGCCCGGGACAATCTGCGGTCCCAGCGACAATGGCTAACCGCATCGCGGGCTGCATTCAAGCCCTCAAGAAAACCCTGCTAGCTTGATAGGCAGGCTAGCTGCTATGCCGAACAGCTCCTCAGACCAGGCCTTGGTCGGCAGGATCACAGGACAGATAGTAGCGGTCCCAGCAACTGATGCCAACCGCGTCGCGGGATCCAAACTCAAAAGGTAGAAACTTTTCAATACACTTTCAAAACTTTCCAAAACAACAAACTTTCCAAAACAACAAACCGAGCTCTCCCTCGTTCCGCGTTCAACAGGAAATGACGTGATATCAGCGTCACGAAGGCAGGTCTAATGTTTCTGAAGTGGAATAATCTTATTAGGCTGTTGTTTTGGTATCGGCCACAGCAGACTGGAGCAGAGGTTGCTTCTCTCTAAATGAAAACAGACAGTAAGCTGTGCCAGCTCAGTGGTCTGTGGATGTGTGTAAAATGTAGGGATTATTCAAGGGATCCACCATCATTACAACGGCTTCCTTATGACTCCTCTAACTATTCCTGCATGTGTGTGTGTCTGCATAAGCAGGCCAAACTGGTTAATTTACTAGTATTTATTGTTAAACTCAGATAAACATGGTGTGTGTTTACCAGGAGGATGAGTGGAGGCACTCTGTCTCTATTACTTTTGTTTGGGTTAGACCAGGGAGGGAGGGAGGGAGAGGAAGGAGGGAGGGAGGGAGTTACATTCCTGAAGTCTAGCAGCTGCGTGATTCTGCTGTTTATGTAACACAGGAGAGGAGACTGGCCAATGATCAGGGAGAGGTGGAGAGTAGGGTAGGATAGACAAGGGGGAGAGATAGTAGGGAGGGAGAGGAGAGAGATGAGAGTGAGAGATGAGAGAGAGAGAGAGAGAGATAGAGAGAGAGAGAGAGATATGGAGCTCGAAGAGCAGCTAGCTCTAGCGAGAGATCTCTCTCTAGATCGCTAGACGCATCGCTCGAGCTCCTCTGCTTCTCCTCTCGATCCCTCGCTTCTCTCATCTAGCCCTTCTCTCTTACGCTCTCTCGCTATCGAGCCTACTTCGCAGGATGTGGTTTCTCCCTACAGTGTGAGTTGGCTCTGGTCTGTAGGTTTGTGTAAACGGTAAGTGGTGTCAGAGTATCCAGATCAGACTGCAATCTTGTCCCAATACACACTGAAACTGTATCTGCTGAATGGAGACAGTATATATTCTGTTCTGTTCTCCTTCCTCTCCTCACCCATCTTCCCCTCATCTTTTAAATCCTCTCAGAGGCAGTCAGGCAAGTTGATTGCAGTAGAGACAAAGGTGGAAGAGATGGCATTGAACAACACAGTGGATCTACAGATACAGTAAAACTTCCTTAGCATGTATAAGACTGGTGGCTTGGTGATAGCAGAATCACCTGTAATAATATTGGCCTCTTCAGTCAGTAGGGTGGCTGAGCATAAATCTGTGGTGAGGCTGACATCTGCTGGTGAAAACTGATATTGAAATGTGGTGTTGGGGAGTAAGTGATTACATGGAACAATCAGTTACATTACCAGCAAAAAGATTGTGTAATCAGATTACAGATACTTTTGAAAAACTAGATTACTTCTTGGGTTACTTTTAAATTCAGAAAGGATGTTTGCGAAAAAATACATTATGATACCTTGATGTTCTCTCAATGACATTCAATTCAGCATTGAAAAGTGGAGCAAGTGTAAGTGTGTTCCACCTGAGTGAATCTGACCACAAGTCAGAGACCACTATTATGACACACCAAATACATTTGATGGATCCTTTCTGCCTTCTTCTAATGCAAGGGTTCCATGGTGGGCCTAGTGTCTGCAGGTTTTGGTTTTTTCCTTTCAATTAAGACCTGGACAACCAGGTGTGGGGAGTTCCTTTCTAATTAGTGACCTTAATTCATCAATCAAGTACTGTACAAGGGAGGAGAGAAAACCCACAGACATTTGGCCCTCCGTGGAATGAGTTTGACACCTGTGTTCTAATGCCTCTTAAGGGGAAAGTAATCAAAATGTAACTGAAAGTAATCAGATTACATTACTGAGTTTGGGTAATCCAACAATTATGTTAATGTCTTAGAAAATTTGAAACGATTTAGAAAATTCAGATGATTTTGTCAACAGCGCCATCACTTTATATCGAAGCTGAGAAAATAGAATATGCACTAGTACAAAGTCAAAATACATAATTTAACAGAAATAACTTATTCATATCAAAAAATTATAGAAATGTTATGTAGCCTTCAAGATTATCTTACATGAGAACAACTTAATATTTCATAGAAATATGTAGCCTACATACCAAAGCTTCACCTAAAACAATTATCCAAAAACAATCAGTAGAACATTCTTACTCACATTCAGTATATGTCTTTTGGTCTTTCACTGAACATCCAGCACATGTTATGTAGTTCCTTAAAACAAGTTCATACTGGCAGTAATTTGGGACTTACTGGTAGATGCAGGTATAGGAACTGGAATATTTGGTGGCAGGTAGCTTAGTGGTTAAGACAGTAACTGAAAGATCACTGGTTCTAATCCCCGAGCCGACTAGGTGAAAAATCTGTCCATGTACCCTTGAGCAAGGCACTTAACCCTAATTGCTCCTGTAAGTTGCTCTGGATAAGAGCATCTGCTAAATGACAAAACTGAATATAAGATCCACTCCTGACGGACGCATTCACTTCCCCCATTCATCAGCTCACATTTACTTTATAAAGCCCTTTTTGCATCAGCAAAAAGAGCAAGCAATACAGAGGCAGAAACACAGTGGCTAGGAAAAACTCCCCAGAAGGCAGGAACCAAGGAAAAAACATAGAGAGGAACCTGGCCCGAAGGCATGGCCATCCCTCTTCTGGCTGTACTGGGTAAGCTGTGGTTAATACACCGATAGCTTCACAGTTACACAGTTCACAATTGCACATGAGTCAGTTGAATACAGTCAACCCCTGATAAGTGCACAATAAATAAGTGTATACTCTGTTTAAGTGCAGTGCAGGTCACTAGTCCTAATCCAAACGTATGTTGGATTTAAAACATTGCCCTGGATAACTCCATGCCTTACAATAGTGCACACATTGAGTAAAGTCATTGCATTTCTAGTTCTCCATTGGTTCTTCTGTGGAACTCAGTCATTTGAACATACTGGTTAAATATTTATACAACTCACAGTCTTCCTCAACACCATGAAAACACCTCTTAAGTCCAGCTTGTCCTCCGGCGTGGAGAGGAAAGTTAACATGGTTTCCAATGGCGCCAAGTCCAGGCAATGTGTAGGTCACCCAGTGATCCCTTCCCCTTGTCCCATCAGAAGGCAGAACAGTTCAGATTTATAGATAACATATCAATAAAATAACCTTCCATATTCTGGGTTCCAAATGTACAACATTACAGACTCCAAGATCCATTAAGAATGTGTGTTCATACAGGTGAGCTGTACTCTTCTGTGAAGCACAGAGGAAGAAATAGAGGAGAGGATTGAAAAAGAACAGGAATGAAAAAAGAGAGGAATGAAAAAGCAGACTTTAACAAAACAAACATGTTTAACTGTTTGGCCAGGTCAGCTGCAGAGGTTAGCTAAACCAACGTCAAGTTTTTGATTTTGTATTCATCCTCTGAGTTTGAGTGAAACAGTGAAACAGATACTCACTCAGCTGTCCTTGCTGCTTCCTCCCCATCTGTAAAAACAGGATGTATTTATACATGTTTTATTTTTTACCTTTATTTTAACCTTTATATTTATTGAGACCTAGGTCTCTTTTACAAACGCGACCTGTATATACAACATAAATATACACATTATACCTAAACGATATATACAGTACCAGTCAAAAGTTTGGACACACCTACTCATTCAAGGGTTTTTCTTTATTTTTACTATTTTTTACATTGTAGAATAATAGTGAAGACATCAAACTATGAAATAACACATATGGAATCATGTAGTAACCAAAAAAGTGTTAAACAAATAGCCACCCTTTGCCAGCTTTGCACACTCTTGGCATTCTCTCAACCAGCATCATGAGGTAGTCACCTGGAATGCATATCAATTAACAGGTTTGCCTTCATAAATGTTAATTTGTGGAATTTATTTCCTTCTTAATGTGTTTGAGCCAATCAGTTGTGTTGTGACAAGGTAGGGGGGTATACAGGAGATAGCCCTATTTGGTAAAAGACCAAGTCCATATTATGGCAAGAACAGCTCAAATAAGCAAAGAGAAACGATAGTCCATCATTACTTTAAGACATGAAGGTCAGTCAATACGGAACATTTCAAGAACTTTGAAAGTTTCTTTAAGTGCAGTTGCAAAAACCATCAAGCGCTATGATGAAACTGGCTCTCATGAGGACCACCACAGGAATGGAAGACCCAGAGTTACCTCTACTGCAGAGGATAATTTAATTAGAGTTACCAGCCTCAGAAATTGCAGCCCAAATAAATGCTTCACCGGGATGCTGACCTAGGCAGAGTTGCAAAGAAAAAGTCCAGTGTTCTTTTGCCCATCTTAATCTTTTCTTTTTACTGGCCAGTCTGAGACATGGCTTTTTCTTTGCAACTCTGCCTAGGTCAGCTTCCCGGAGTCGTCTCTTCACTGTTGACGTTGAGACTGGTGTTTTGCGGGTACTATTTAATGAAGCTGCCAGTTCAGGACCTGTGAGGCGTCGGTTTCTCAAACTAGACAGTCTAATGTATTTGTCCTCTTGCTCAGTTGTGCACCGGGGCCTCCCACTCCTCTTTCTATTCTGGTTAGCCAGAATAGGTTAGAGCCACAAATAGGTCCCCAATCAATACTTGTAATTGCCCGAACGGCACCAGAACATCAAGATGAAATGTATTTAGCTTTTTTTTGTCCGGAAATACGGTGCAATAACACTAAAAGCAGATTGACCAAAGCTCGGTGGAGACCCTAGGAACCTCAAGATTTAACCAATCCTGTGTGCGGGTTAGGCAACTCAGGTGCCTATACTTCAACAGAAAAGTTAGATAAGACGGACGTTTATGAAGTCAGGCCTTGTAAAACAAAAAGGGAGTAATGTAGATCTTAGGGTCTTTAGCGAAGTCCAGCCAACCTTTTGATACAGGTTACAGTGATGAGTATCCAAACTGTCGCCTGTAACAAAACGAAGTGCACTATGATAGATGGCATCCAAAGGTTTAAGAGTAGCTGCAGGCTGCACTTTGATAAAAAAAATATCAACATAATCAAGAACAGATAAAAAGGTTGACTGAATAATCTGCCTCTTACTGCATAGAGAAAGGCACGATCTGTTTCTGTAGAAAAAGCTGACTTTAAATCTTAGCTTACATCTACATGTTTTTTAAACTTCAAATACATATAAATCCAAATGCCTAAGTATTTATATGCGTGAGCACGTTCGGTTGGAGAACCATCAAATAAGTGAACATGTAGTTCCTCTGAAACTTTCTTACGAGAGTTTGAAAACAACATGTATTTTGTTTTGCCCGTATTAAGCACAAGTTTTAAATCAGCAAGGGATTTCTGCATAGCTATACAATTTTACTGTAGTTTTGACACAGCTAGATCAACAGTTGGGGCAATAGCATACATAATAGTATCATCTGCATATAGATGAAGTTTACCATTTTTAACAGATTGACCAATGGTGTTTATATAAAAAGAGAAGAGAACAGGTCCCAAAATCAACCTGTCAAACATCTTTATGTACTTCAAGAAATTCAGACTTAATCCCATCAATCACGATGGCCTGAGTTCTGTCACTAAGATAATCATGAAACCATGAACAGGCGTCAGAGCTCAGGCCTATCGAGGACAACTTATTCAATAAAATTGCATGATCAACAGTATCAAAAGCTTTTGACAGGTCCACAAACAAAGCAGCACATTTCATTTTAGTGTCTAAAGCTTTGACAAGATCATTAACAACTAACGTGGTTGCTGTAATATTGCTATGACCAGGCCTAAACCCTGATTGGTTTACATTCAAAATACATTTCTCAGATAAAAAAGAGCAATGTCATGATGTACAATAGGTATTTCTCATTTTTATCGGTCCCATTTCCAAGGGACAATAATGGGTGTTTCCACTATTGCAGGTGATGTAATCCTTACCTTGATTAACTCTGGCTGTCCGAGCCTTCCTTTCCTTGAATACAAACAGCCCAATCAGCAGGAAACACAGCAGAGCAACAGCACCAGCCACAACGGCAGAGATCACATAGTAATCAGGAGAGCCTGTCTGAGGCCTGCCTATATTAGATGAAGAGAATAACATGTTGGTTTTCATTTTCAATTGCTTGACAGAAATGTGTAAAGTTACAAATTTAAAGGAAAACTATCTTTTGGTATTTGTTTCATTAGTCCATTGTTGACATAGCCCCAAAATGTTTTGCTTGTCAGCAATCAAGTTTTCAAGATATGTCACTTTCAAAATACAGAAGTCATCCCCATATGATGCATTTTGCATCATACGATGCAAAACACAGCATCATATGAGCAAAATGCATCATACGGGGATTACTTCTGTATTTTAGATAGTTCTTGGGTGGGGTTTTCCTTTAAGGACAAAGTGACAGAGACACACTGTCTCAGCACTCACAGACAGTGTGTTCCTGTGAGAGGGCGCCCCCTACAGCACAGCTGAGGTTCAGCTGGGGTCCGGAGGAGCAGTTGACGGATATGGAACTGAAGACTGAGAACAGCGTGGTGACCGGGTCTCTCCTCCCACTGCTGTTCACTGCTCTCCAGTGGCTCTGGTTCAGAGGAGGGTTCGGGCTCCACTCAACGTCCCTACGAGGGTAACCACTGTCGGAGGAACACGTCACCAAGCAACTGCCATTGTCACAGGCCACCGTTACATTGGGGATGCTGTAGTTGGCTGTAGAGGAGGAGAGATAGAGATAAAGAGAGAGGAGAGTGGAGCGAGAGGAGGAAATGCTGGTAAGGACTGAGGAGGAAAGGATCTTAGTTTTACTTCCTGAAAACACAAAGGGCAAAACAACACACTCGCTCTCTCAGAGCTGAGAGACATATGTCTTAGTGATAGCCATTTTACAGCTTTCTTTTTTTCTTTTTTTTTGTGAATGTATCTATGGTTTGGGCCATTACACGCGCACATCTGACGGCACAAAAATAATGTTCTCTTTCATCCAGAAAGCCATGTTCCACATGTGGGAGAATAAAATAGAAAAATGAATAAAACACAAACATGGAAAGAGAGTTTGAACTGAGGTAATGTTACCTGTCACTTTGAGCTGTATGTTCTCCAGGATAATCTTGGTTTGGTATTGGATGTGGCACACGTACAGCCCCTCATCTGATGGCCGTATACTCCACAGCTTCATTGTTCGCTGTGTGTGGTCTACACGCGTACGGTTTGTGTACTCCGTAAGCTCTATGTGCTTCTTCGTATGGTAGCCGTTAATGAACCGGGAACTGTTTCCATTGGAACCAGGTCTCTGTACATACATGAAGTCCAGAGACTTCTCCTGGAGGTCTGAGGTACAGGGGATGGTCACAGACCCGCCCACCTCTCCTATCACCATGGTGACATCTGAGCGAGAGGGAGAGAGGTCGCGGGAGGGATATGCCAGAGAGTTAGGTGTTGGGGTTGTGTGGGTGTGAGGGTAGACTTTTTTTGGTGACTTCTGTAGTTTTCACTTCCCTATCTGACATGTTTGCCCTTTTCTCTCATTTGTCTGGTAGATTCCCTTCTACTGAATAGATAACATCATGGTTCAGATAGTCTTGATGTAAATTAAATCTCACAGAGCCAACATACACAAATACATACATACACTGAGTGCACAAAACATTAAGGACACCTTCCTAATATTGAGTTGCCCTCAGAATAGCCTCAATTCGTCGGAGCATTGACTCTATAAGGTGTCGAAAGTGTTCCACAGGGATGCTGGCCAATGTTGACTCCAATGCTTCCAACAGTTGTGTCAGGTTGGCTGGATGTCCTTTGGGTGATGGACCATTCTTGATACACACAGGAAACTGTTGAGCATGAATACACAGCAGGGTTGCAGTTCTTGACAAAAACATGCGTCTGGCACCTACTATCATGCCCCGTTCAAAGGCACTTAAATCTTTTGTCTTCTCCATTCACCCTCTGAATGGCACGCATACACAATCCATGTCTCAATCTCACGGCTTAAAATCCTTCTTTAACCTGTCTCCTCCCCTTCATCTACACTGATTGAAGTGGATTTAACAAGTGACATCAATAAGGGATCATAGCTTTCACCTGGATTCACCTGGTCAGTCTATGTCATGGAAAGAGCAGGTGTTCCTAATGTTTTGTACACTCAGTGTACATGTAGACACACATGCAGGCTGGCACACACAAACTCAGCCACACATATTCAAACAGTAAAGGTCTGATAAGATATAGACATGGCAGGTAATGTTTATTTATATTTTTATGATGTCATATTCATTTCACTTGGCTCGCCTCTTACCTTCACTTTGAAGAAACGGCAGCGATACCAGGAAGAAGAGGACATACCTGTTGGAAACCATAACAACAATACAATCAGCTGAGTACTGTTAGGTGAAGTCACTGGCAGTATTATAGTAGCATTCTTATCATATAATTACATATTAGTAATTCAATAGGATCTTTGTGATACTTATTTCCTATTACCAGAAATAGTACTGTCCTTTAGTTAGTGGCACACAATCCTCTAAGTATGAGACTCCAGCTTTCAGGAATGTATACTGTACCTAGAAAGCTATAGCACTCAGAAAACATATATTATTTATATTTAATTGGAGACCCACAGGGACATAATCTCTATCAGATACCATCACCACTCACAAACAAATGTAAACAAGTTGTGAAGAATCCTGACTCTAGATAGTGGATAGCAATACAGGTGTATGTAAATCAAATAGGTTCTATGCAAATAACCAGCATTTAGAGATACCTCAGCCACAATCCCGCCATATGAATCATGATCATACAGTGTGATAAGTGAGCGCTACTTACCGAAGCAGCCAACGCGCACACATCCCATTGTCCTGTAGGAAACACACACACACACACACACACACACACACACACACACACACACACACACACACACACACACATTAGTTCAAACAGCAGTACTCACAACCAATGCTCAGGTTTCATATGATGATGGACACGTTCATAAATGATGCAGAGTTTACTTATTAATCCTCAGCTAATATGGTGAGATAACAAAAAAGTTACGAAAAATCTTCATTCTATATTTAGCATAATAACCAAGTTAAGGAAATAAATTAGCATTGGGAGAAATTCTGTCTCTGTGGTTACTCTGTTTCCTAATAGTCAGTCAAGAAAACCCTAAGGGAAATCCCAGGACAAGGGAATTGCTTCAGGAAACTCTTTGTTCTCTTTGGGCTACAAGTACAGTAGTCTATAAGCACATAAAGCTACTGTGTGGTAGGCCTATGCTCAAAGCCCAGTTTTTCAAAAGTGATCTATCCGGATTTCAGCTATATGCATAGAAATAGAATGAATAGAACAGGTTTGTGGTGCTGTACCAGTGCCTTGAGATATTTGTGGTTATGGTACATGATTAATCTCAGGGATCGGTGGTTAAGGATAGAAGTTCAGAGTTGTGGGTTTGGCTGACTTAGTGTCAATTTGAAGAGAATCAATCAAACAACAATTCCATTCCTCAGTCGTGTGTCTTTAACACATCCTCTTGCAAGTGAGGATTTGATTATGCGTTAACTACTTGAGAATAAAGACATACAACTATTGCATCGATGGAATATGACAGGCCAGAGGACGGATATGTGCGGGGGGCAGACAGAGGGAACTAGCTTCAGTTGTCAGATAAGTTTCTAAAAATAAGCCAAGGGGATCTCCCCAGAAGTATAGAGCCCCATTGTTATGGTATCAGCTTGTAGGAGAAGTTTCATTACCACATGTTAATGTATCATCAACAGTACAACTGTGTACAGTGCAAGTGCAGTAAACTAAATATATTGCTAGGAGGTTCGAGCCCTGAATGCTGATTGGCTGAAAGCTGTGGAATATCATGGGTATGACAAAACATTTATTTTTACTGCTCTAATTACATTTGTAACCAGTTTATAACAGCAGTAAGGCACCTCAGAGGTTTGTGGTATATTGCCAATATACCACAGCTAAGGGCTGTATCCAGGCACTCCGCATTGCATCGTGCTTAAGAACAGCCCTTAGCCGTGGTGTATTGGCCATATACCACACCCCCTCCGGCCTTATTGCTTAAATAACACACATGAAAACACTCAAACATAAACATGTGTGCGCATAACATAGGCATGCACGTGTTTACATTCATGGTCCACTGAGCAGGTTGCAGACAGTAGTCTCACACCCACAGTCATTCTGACACAGCCTGATTTATGTTGCAGCAAGTGAGTCAGAAAGGGGTGGTACTAGAAACCTGTGAAGTGAGAAGTTCAACTTCATGTTCAGTGTGTCACTCACATCGCAGTCAACAGAAACTGAAATCAATGGACTTATATATCAAAAGTTGTTGTTTTATCAAAACACAAGAGATTAGAACTTTAGAGTAATCTGACCATATCTAGGTGAAACCCTAGGTGAAATACACTGTGTGTAAATATTTCACTTATCCATGTGATTGACAATGTTTGCAAATAAGCAATTGATACAAATACATAATGCACTGTCCATGCAACAATATTTAATTTTAAGATTTTTTTTTATTTCAACCACTTTGACAGAGATGATTATAAACTTTTATTTCAGATATATAATATGACACTATGGATGTGTTTACACAGGCAGCCCAGTTTTGACAATAATTGGTCTTTTGACCAATCAGATCAGATCTTTTGCCAATACTTGGGCAAAATGTCAGAATTGGGCCGCCTGTGTAAAAGCAGCCAATGAACAGTCAGTTTCTGTGGCTCCTTTATCTGTTATCTACATCTCTCCAGATACTACTGTCAACCCAAGAGTAGAAATCAAATCTCTACAGCTATTGCTTAGGTTGAAAATCTGAAACACCAACAGCCTCCATTCATTCAATGATATGATATATAGGCACCGTGTAGCTCAGTTGGTAGAGCATGGCACTTGCTCTACCAACTCACTAACTGTAAACTGACTTAAATGTAAATATACTTACAGTTGTATGTCTCAGTGAGTAAAACAAACTGAATACCATTCTATTGCATTATTTAATTAAACCGCTTCACCTTAACCAGTGCTGTATTCTCTAAGTAAAGCTACAACAACACTGGTACATCCAATACAAGCCAGTCTGGAAGAGCTGTACATATTTGTAACAGTTATAAATCCTATAAAGGTGAAATAAAGGCATTCTTACCACGTCCATGTTTGCTTTTCTTAACAGCCGTAATCGAGTGTGAAGTCAGAGAGGTTGGTTTGTGAAGTGTTCTCAGCAGCCACAGGCAGTTCCTCATACCTAAGCATTCTGAGGGTGAGGCTTTAGCCAGGGGAAGTCCTTTCGCTTTTGTAGTTTATAAACATTACTCACGTTGCCATAGTAGCTTATCTTATCAGCATTTGGTTCCTCACCACAGGGATGTACACTACCGTTCAAAAGTTTGGGGTTACTTAGAAATTTCATTTTTTGAGAGAAAAGTGATTTTGTTGTCCATTAAAATAACATCAAATTGATCAGAAATACAGCGTAGACATTGTTAATGTTGTAAATGGCTATTGTAGCTGGAAACTGCTGTTTTTAATGGAATATCTACAGTTGAAGTCGGAAATTTACATATACTTAGGTTGGAGTCATTAAAACTCGATTTTCAACCACTTCACACATTTCTTGTTAACAAACTATAGTTTTGGCAAGTCTGTTAGGACATCTACTTTGTTCATGACACTAGTAATTTTTCCAAGAATTGTTTACAGACAGATTATTTCACTTGTAATTCACTGTATCACAATTCCAGTGGGTCAGAAGTTTACGTACACTAAGTTGACTGCCCCTTTAAACAGCTTGGAAAATTCCAGAAAATGATGTCATGGCTTTAGAAGCTTCTGATAGGCTAATTGACATCATTTGAGTCAATTGGAGGTGTACCTGTGGATGTATTTCAAGGCCTACCTTCAAACTCAATGCCTCTTTGCTTGACATCATGGGAAAATCATAATAAATCAGCCAAGACCTCAGACTGGTCCATCCTTCGGAGCAATTTCCAAACGCCTGAAGGTACCATGTTCATCTGTACAAACAATAGTACGCAAGTATAAACACCATGGGACCACGCAGCCATCATACCGCTCAGGAAGGAGACATGTTCTGTCTCCTAGAGATGAATGTACTTTGGTGCGATAAGTGCAAATCAATCCCAGAACAACAGCAAAGGACCTTGTGAAGATGCTGGAGGAAACAGGTACAAAAGTATCTATATCCACAGTAAAACGAGTCCTATATCGACATAACCTGAAAGGCCACTCAGCAAGGAAGAGGCCACTGCTCCAAAACCGCCATAAAGAAGCCAGACTACGGTTTGCAACTGCACATGGGGACCAAGATCGTACTTTTTGGAGAAATGTCCTCTGGTCTGATTAAACAAAAATGGAACTGTTTGGCCATAATGACCATCGTTATGTTTGGAGGAAAAAGGGGGTGGCTTGCAAGCCGAAGAACACCATCCCAACCGTGAAGCACAGGGGTGGTATGGATGATTTTCAAGTACATATGTTGTAGAATTAAACACCTATATGCCTTAAAATGTTTATGGATTGAGAACCAGTTGAAGGGTTAATACAGAGCAGAGACATTTATGTGTTTTTCATAAACTCCCTGCAGCTGGTCTGGGTATGTCAATGACATGTGATGGCTGTGTGGAGATTGGAGTAACAATGGACCTAGTGTTATCATTTGTTTTGCTTATGACCCTATGACCTGACACATGGCCACATGCACATAACCTCAAGGGCCAGGGAGGATGGTAAATGATAAATGCCTTAATGTATGTACGTGTATTATTTGTAAAGAAAGGGTCTGCAACCATATAATGAGATTAGGGAAAGGGTCTGCTACCAATATAATGAGATTAGGGAAGAGGCTTCCTGTGGAAAAGCGCCCATGACCTTTTGGAGTAAACCACATGTGACATTTGGACGTTGAAAGATAAGGGTAGAGTGGCACTAAAATAAGTTAATCATTTGCCCTAAGGGGAGGGACTGTATATGCTATGTAACATGATTATGCATTTGTGTGTATAAAAGGGAGCTCTAAGCCAAAGAGAGACAGTTGTTGCTCCATGGAGCAAGCTCGGCTTTGTTATGCAAATAATAAAAGTCTAAATTCACAAGTTCCAGTCTCTTGAGAAATATTTTTAAGTTGACTACTTTTTGAGTCAAATATTTCTACGACAGTGGCAGCATCATGCTGTGGGGGTGCTTTGCTGCAGGAGGGACTGGTGCACTTCACAAAATAGATGGCATCATGAGGAAGGAAAATTTTGTGGATATATTGAAGCAACATCTCATGACATCAGTCAGGAAGTTAAAGCTTGGTCGCAAATGGATCTTCCAAATGGACAATGACCCCAAGCATACTTCCAAAGTTGTGGCAAAATGGTTTAAGGACAACAATGTCAAGGTATTGGAGTGGCCATCACAAAGCCCTGACCTCAATCCTATAGAAAATGTGTGGGCAGAACTGAAAGTGTGTGCAAGCAAGGAGGCCTACAAACCTGATTCAGTTACACCAGCTCTGTCAGGAGGAATGGGCCAAAATTAATCCAATTTATTGTGGGAGGCTTGTGGAAGGCTACCCGAAATGTTTGACCCAACTTAAACTATTTAAAGGCAATGCTACCAAATACTAATTGATTGTATGTAAAAGTCTGACCCACTGGGAATGTGATGAAAGAAATAAAAGCTGAAAAAAATCCTTCTCTCTACTATTATTCTGACATTTCACATTCTTAAAATAAAGTGGTGATCCTAACTGACCTAAGACAGGGAATTTAAACTAGGATTAAATGTTAGGAATTGTGAAAAACTGAGTTTAAATGTATTTGGCTAAGGTGTGTGTAAACTTCCGACTTCAACTGTAATTGCAAAAGGGTTTTCTAATGATCAATTAGCCTTTTAAAATGGTAAACTTGGATTAGCAAACACAACGTGCCATTGGAACACAGGACTGATGTTTGCTGATAATGGGCCTCTGTACACCTATGTTGATATTCCATTAAAACTCAGCCATTTCCAGCTACAATAGCCATTTACAACATTAACAATGTCTACACTGTATTTCTGATCAATTTGATGTTATTTGAATGGACAAAAAAATAGCTTTTCTTTCGAAAACAAGGACATTTCTAAGTGACCCCAAACTTTTGAACAGTGGTGTATATAAACCCTGGATTGCTGACACTATCTATGTATTGGCCATTGAGAGGCTTTGAAGCCACCGGTCGTCCATATTGGCCCTTCCTAGTAGAAACAGTCCTCCATAGGAATGCATGGAATTCTACAGTATTTCAATTAAATGTTTCAAGGACAAACAAACATGTATTTAAGTATGTTTTGTTGGACAGTAACATTAGTAATAAAAAATATATACTTTTTATGTTTAGCTCACATATAATTTAAAAGTATGCATTAAAGTGTCTGTAACCGAATAAATGTCAAAAACAAATGTAGACATTAATAAATGCATTTCTATAGCAAGATGGCTGAATGGTGGCTTCAATACAGCACCCCGTCGGTCACCTAGGGTTTATACACATTATTGGTTTGTGTGCTGAGTTAATGTCACAGACATTTGAGACTCTCACTTCCTTATAAGTATATGTCACCTAAACTCTACAGTACTCAGAACACGAAATGCAATGGTTATCGAGAACACGACAACAATAGTGAGAAATGGAACACTGTATCAATGGTGTCCCTGATGAATGGCGAATCAGAATGGAGAATGTTGTTTGGACCAGTGGTGTTGCAAGGACTGATGCATGCCCCTGGGAATGTCCTGGTGTTTCCTGGTTTCCTGTCCTGATGTCAAAGAGAAATACAGGCTTGGCCTAAACATATCCTACTAATATAGGGAAACACTCTTTTCACTCCACTTCGATACCGAAGTGACTTTTCATAGCAGGTTAGGAGAATTTATGCAGCAGGTTAGGATAATTAATGTAGCAGGTTAGGAGACTGAGGTTAAGGTTAGGAAAAGGGTTAGGGTTAGCGAAAATGCTCTCCTAACCTGCTACGAAAATCACTTTGTATCGATGTGGCGTGTGACCTACCTAATATACTGTACCCACCCTTATCTGGAATAATCAGTGAAGTGGTTGTCCCACTGGCTATCATAAGGTGAATGCACCAATTTGTAAGTCGCTCTGGATAAGAGCGTCTGCTAAATGACGAAAATGTAAATGTAAAAAGTGAGTAATTCACTCTGTGTGCTGAAGAAGTGTGGCTTACTTAGGTGGAAATACTTTTCTGCTTGGTAGAATTTGAGTCATGTAGTTTGTCAGTGTTGCTCCAGCGATAAAACATTCCAAAGACACAATGTCAGGGTGCTGCATACAGCCATACCCCAGCCAGGTGGCTACCAACTGCAGTCTCTGCTGTAAGCACATATACCCAAGTTTTCATACCCCCAAACCAACTAACTAACTACTAAAGAATTGTGTAGGGTGGGACCTCATCCTCTCCTCACAAACAGAGGTGTGGGAAACCTCAGTACAAACTTAGTACAAATATAGTGCAGCAGGCCTGGATTGCAGAAACCCCCCACTAACTCATCCCACCTACTGCCTCGACACACTCACACACACACACACAGATACACACACACACACACACACACACACACACACATCCACACACACACACACACACACACACACACACACACACACACACACACACACACACACACACACACACACACACACACATCCACACACACACACACACACATCCACACACACACACACACACACACACACACACACACACACACACACACACACACACACACACACGTTAAAGGAAGTGAGGAGGAGCTCTTACACTGTGGCCGAGGTGTGTGGGAGGATAAAATAACCAGAAGAATAACTTCAAAAGAAAAACAAGCTGTTTACAATAAAAGGAGGGGTTTCTGGCAAAGGGTGTCAATCAATTTTCTTTTATGGGATTCCCTCAACTCTCTACATTTTTTTTAAAGGAGAAACGGCTCTACTGCTGCTCTCTCTTTGAACATACTGTTACAGTTTATTCGGAAAGTATTCAGACCCTTTGACTTTTTCCACATTTTGTTACGTTACAGCCTTATTCTAAAATGGTTTAAATTTTTTAAAATCCTCAATCTACACACAATACCCCATAATGACAAAGCGAAAACAGGTTTTTAGAAATGGTTGCTAATTTATAAAAAATCGTCAGAAATACC